TGGATGTTAATGTGTGTTTGCGGCTCATAATGAAACAGAAAGATCTGACTGTCAGGAAATCATGTCCTTGACGTCATGATGTCGCGAAGCGCTCTTCCGAAACACATCGGCGCTGCACACCGCCGTGAATTAACGCATAGCTTTTGCCGAGCACACCATCCGTCTTCTTCGGAGAGATTCAGGTACAGCCGCACAAAACAGCTAAACATGCCACTCTGACTTGGAGTCCAGGCAAGTTTCTATCTGTTGCGTTAGGCTCGCAAGGTGGTCCAATTTTTTTCTCAAAGATGCATTCCAAGGGTTAAATTCCTGGCAGTTGCTCTGAGAGTCTAGGGTTGCGTAAACTTAGTAAAGGCTTACGAAATATACGTATAACCCGTATAAGCCAGTGCCAGTGTACTTTCGGTTATCCCCAGTATTCTACTTCCCAATGCCCCACTGTTCTTCGAAGTACTGCTTGGCATTGCACACGTCGGTCAACTTGTTTGGGCTACTTGTGGGAATAAGGGTTTAGGGCTTAGAGCCCTGGATCAGTCAATGTCAGGATGAAGGCAACACGCAGAACCTAGACAGGTATATTACGAAACAATGGTGCTATCCAAAATCGAAATGTCGAGAGGCCATAGAAAACTACCCGGTTTGGTCACAACTTGGGTTTCCCCTACCCAGCCCCCAACCCATATGAGCTTCAGTCTAAACTCCTAGTAGCCCCCTTAATAACCCCTATAGTACCTATATAATGCTACTTATATAACCCCTTCAAGGAGTTTAGGCGGTAGCTCATATAATGCAAATTTCCATTTCAGTTTCCATGTATCTCCATTTCACTCGACGGGTCCCTGAGCTCAGAAACATCCCAGAACAAGTTCTGCTGACCCCTCTCTCTCTCAGGGTTGTGCACACCCCCTCACATGTTAGTTTGCGACAATGCCCCGTATCACACGTGTCACAACCTGCAATAAATAAATACCGCAATGATGCGGCCTGCCTCTGTAATCACTTGGGCTTTCCCTACATAACCCCCAGCCCCATAGCCCAGTGTATAATCCCAGTTTGCATGTCATGTTCCATCTTCTTGCCCATTTGATTCTCCATTTTGGGGGGACCTGTCCGGCCTCAGCGCACATTCCGGTTTTAATCCCATGCTTACATCACGCCAAAACCGAGAAACAAATGGACAACAAAATCGAGATGAAATGGAAACTGAGACTATGCCCTAAACCCTAAACCCTAAACCGCGTGGCTTGTGTGTGCCCAAGGCCAGCACGGCGATGGCAGAGCTCAGAGCTTTCAACGCCATGGCTTTGCCACATTCACTTCAGAGTCTGAGCTTTGACCAGCAATCCGCTAGGAAACTATTATACTATAATAGGGATTATATAGGGGTTATATAGGGTTAATGGAAAAGAAAATGGAAACTCATATATATATATATTTACTTTGCACTTTTTAAAGCCTGAAATGGCGCAAAAGCTCGCAGACGTGCCAGGGCAAGGCTAATTGCAGAACGCAACTCACAGCAACATGCCCAACCACCATTTTCTGTACCGCTGACTCTGTGCATTCTTGGGTCTTTGCGCAACTAGCTGAGCTACTGCTCGGTGCGAGTGGCCCTTTGTATCTACAAGCGGGGCCACACATCTAAGCTGAACCAGCATTGAAAGCTCAGCTGCGCACGGGATTTTGTACAGTGCGCACGTCACTAGCACATACAGAGAAGCTCTGCAATGCTCGGAAAATCATGGCTCGTGTGGCCAACCAGCTCCTACAGCGAACGAATTTATCGAATCTGACACACTCTTTGGATAGTGCTGGCAACGGTTCCCTGATGGTGACTGGGCCAGAATTCACTGGAAAGGTCACATGAACCTCCAAGCCTCATTCTTCCTCCCTGCCTCATGCATCGACGGAGTCGACCTTCTCCGTCTCAAGGCCACTGATGTCAAGCTGAACGCCCAATGGCCGCAAGCCACAGTAGTCCCGATTGCCAGGCTTCGCGTCATACTGCTGGTGGTATTTCTGCGGGCCAATTACGGCTCTGCAATAGCTCTCATGTTCTCTCACAATATTAGCGGAAGAGAGATGGCAGCTAATATACGTGTCACACATGTGCACATCATGCTCTGCTCAGCAAACGCAACAGTGACATGGAAGGACATGGGTGCCTCAGCATAGTAAAAGGTCGGCGCAGGTACTATCTCGGTAGAGATTCCACCTGGACTGGAGCCAGATGGGCTAATAATGAGCACAGTGCTACTTGTAGGGAACTCTACAATCAAGGCATATAATCAAATGGCTGAAATTATGAAAGGCCAGTGGAAGACACTGATGATAAAGAATGGTTGGATGA